TGTCTGTGCCCATGGTTATGCATGTATTCATATAAGTTCTTGTTAATCTCTCCCTACCTATCCCCCCACCCAGCCTTCCCTCTGAGATGCCACAGTCTGTTCCATGCTTCTCTATCTCTGGATGTGTTTTGTTCATCAGTTTGTTTTATTCATTAGAATCCACATGTGACATCATATGGTATTTGTCTTTCTCTGAGTGACTTATTTTGCTTAATAATCTCCAGGCCAATCCATGCTGTTGCAAAAGGTTAAGAGTTCCTTCCTTTTGACAGCCATGTAGTATTCCATTGTGTAAATGTACCACAGCATTTTTATCTACTCATCTATTAATGGACACTTGGGCTGTTTCCAGATCTTGGCTATTGTGAATAATGCTGCTATGCACATACAGGTGCATATATTCTTTCTCATTGGTATTTTGGAATTCTTAGGATATATTCCAAAAGTGGGATCACTGGGTCAAAAGGCAGTTCAATTTTTAATTTTTTAAGGAAACTCCATACTGTTTTCCCCCAACAGTGCACTAGGGTTCCCTTTTCTCCATATCCTCTCCAGCACTTGTTTGTTGATTTATTAATGGTACCCCATTTTTCCCCCTTTGTAACCTCTACCCAGACCTCGCCCTCCCCTCCCTTTGGTCCTCACCACACTGTATGTTCCCTTTTCTCCATATCCTCTCCAGCACTTGTTTGTTGATTTATTAATGGTAGGTAGCCATTTTTGCAGTTGTTGAGGTTATGTCTCATTGTGGTTTTAGTTTGCATCTCTCTTAAGATTAGTGACTCTGAGCATTTTTTCATATGTCTATTGGCCATCTGTATGTCCTCTTTGGGAGTATTTGGAAAATAATAGGGGATAACAGGTAAAGAATCAGACGATAAACCTAGGAGAGAATGTGGTGATTTAGGACAGGACAGAATGAGGGTAAAAGAATACAAAGGGGCTCAAATAATCCTTCAATGCCAGAGAACAACTCACTATTCTATTAGAACATTTCAACAGCATTCCCAGGGTGAATCTCTGATCTAAACAGAGTATTCAAATGTGTAACTACCTGTTGTGTTATTTGCCATATCATACATGTAGTATCTCTGGAGCCAGAAATCAAATGTATTCCACAGTAATCTGTAGCTAAACAAGTCACAATATCTGAAAGAAAAAATAAAAATAAAAAAGTTAAATTAAATTGCTTGGTTTTGCTGGAACGAAACAGGCAATTTTAGTTTATGTGCAAACTATTACTAAATCAGTTGTTCTAATGGAGAAATATAGAACTGGCATTGGAAATCACAGAAAGGCAGCAGTATTAAAAGCCCATTTGAGAGCTTTCTTCAGGGCCTCCCTTCTTTGAGGGTGAAGTGTAGACATAGGGCAGGGAAATGCCTGTCAGAATCATGGCAGCAGGTCTGGTAGCTTGAAATGAATCCCCAGTAAATTTTAATGTTTTTCTGCTCTTTCATTCCCACTAACCTTCTATTCTCATTTGGAACTGTAATCCTATACAATATGTGACCTTAACCAACATAGTACATATTATACTATAGGTTCTCAATATAAAATACATTCTTTCCTAAATTGTAAAAATCTGAGCTCAGTGACATCTTAGAAGTCACTGGTACAGAATTATTAGCAGACTCTATTCCCCTTCCTATTAGGTTTATTAGGGAAAAATCTACTCATTTTATTCTTATATTGAACACTAAGACACTAAGAAGTGCCAGGTTAAAGAACATTCAACAATTTTACCTCTTTCATGTTTTATTATTAACAAAGTAATAGGGCAGTTGATGTACTGTTCAACTATGACAGATTTTTTTCTTACCAAATTTGTCTTAAATTTCTTATTTCTATCAACAAATTTTAAAAAGACTTTAGCCTAACATATTTAAGATACTATAAAGCTGTATTTAATTTATATGGTGGTAATATATTTATACCCAAAATATATTAGACACTCTTAAAGCATACAATATTCATAACACTGCTCTATCAAAAAGTACACTCAGCTTCAAAGGTAAAATGTAATGTTTTTTTCTAAGAAGTACGTACTACTTTATTTTTTTACTTTTATAGTTAGAAAAAAATAGAGACATTTTTGTGTTTGGGGGAGAAAAACGTTAATGCTTACCCATATGTCTGATATTGTGTGAAATAATTTTGCCTTTTGTAAGTGACATCACTTGAATGCTATTATCCCAGTGTCCAGCACTGAAAAGCAACTTCGCATCATGTGACACTATAAATAGCTTAGAAGTGATCTCCAGCCCCGGAGCAAAAGGACCATTCAGACTACGCTGAGTTCTGTAAACACAATTAAATATTAGACTTTTCCTTTAAAGATCACTTAGACTTAACTATTCAACCTTCAATTTGAAATGTCTATTAATAAGTGATTAAGACTTTCAAAAAATACATTAATCTTTATTTATACTTTTCATAAAATAAAATTTTATATAACAAAGCCTCAATGGTTAAGCATAAAGAAACTGAGATTGGTAAAGGTGTCAAAAAAGATTTAAATCTTGCTTTTCAAAGCCAATTAATAAGATGTCAGAAATAGTAGCCTCAAAGTACAGGTTTGATAAAAGTAGGTTTACAGTTATAATACATAAATAATATAATAACTAAAAAATAACACAAGAATAAACGCTGCCTGTGTTTCATGTACTCACAACAGTAAACCTACTTTTGTCCACCCCTGTATAAAGAATAAGATCAGGAAAGTCATAAATAAACTGAAACTAGGATCTACCAACACAGGGAGATAAATGTGTATCCAACAATACCCATGAAGATCATTTTCTATCCCAACCAAAGAAAGCATATGGTTTTTATCTGCTTCCCACTGAAATGCCTGTGCCCTTAGCCAATCTAAATTCTGCAGAAAGACACAAAAAAGTGATTATATTTCATGTGTGTTATGGATAATGAGGGCCAATTCTGACCCTTCATTCAGCTCCAAACCTTTATTATTCAGTATTAATTTACTGAAGGTATACTTTGCACAAAGCAAAACAGTACTAAGTTCTACGTGGGATAAGAAGGAAAAGACATTGACCCTAACAAACATATAGCTAAAACAACTCAAGAGTAAGGGAGAATTCAACTGAACTTAGAATGTAACCTTTGGATATTTTAAAAGACAACTAAGGTAAATAATAAAGTCTTATTATACAAAACATATTGAGATAAAATTGAATAAAAATAATTACAAATAAGCTTAAAAACTAATCCCAATAATCTGGGCTTCCATAATGGTATGATAGAAATTATTTTTTCTTTAAGCTGGTGTCAAGTCAGGGGAAGGGAAGAAGGAAAGACAGAAAGGAGGGAAGGAAGAGAGGAAAAAATAAATGGTAGAGGAGTGAAGGAGAGAGGAAAGAAAATCTGGATGTATACATTATTACTTTAAAAATAAAACCAATCAATCAATCTAGTTGTTTTTCTAGACAATAAGGTATTATATCTGATTTACTTTAAATGTTCATTTACTTACTTTGGATTTGTCACAGTTTGATCCTTGAAAAATGTAAAGTAATTAGAAATGTTCCTGTCATAAGGCAGCCATCCATGGGTTCCAATAACATAATTCATGCTCACTGTTATCTAGAAAAAGAACATATGAAGATGAAAATTAAATGAAAGATTAAAGAAAGCAACAAAGAATAACCAAATGCTCACATGATATAATCAGAAATAGAACTTATGATGAATTGTTAAGATCTCACAGTCAAAGTGAATGTTTTCTTTTAAAAATGAAAAGCTTTTTTTTTTGCCATAGCTGGTTTGGCTCAGTGGATAGAGCATCAGCCTGTGGACTGAAGAGT